CAATGGTCTGTTAAATGGGTTTCTTCCTATTTTACTTTTTTCAAAAAAAAGTGCGCATGAGCAGGGTTCGGTAAGGCAAAACCTTTGCCTGATACCCAGCTCGAAGGATGAGGGGGCTGCATTGCCCGACCTTGCCGAGTAGAAGCCCTAGTTATTTTGGGCTGGGCTAATACAGACTGGGCAGGGCGGGCTTTCTTTATTTAAATTTACAACTTGAGTTATGAAATTTAAATACTGTCGTATGTCTTAACAGATATTTATGTTTTAAGAATTTAACAATATTCATAATTTATTAAAAACAAGACAATAAAAAATTGTAATTAAAGCCTTAAAATCCAAATGATTTGCACCAATATCCACAAAGTTGAGAAAATAATAAAACATATAAAAAAAATACAAGCTATATTAACATATAATTTAATATAATTTATAGAGATCTATATATTATATTCAAATTAGTAAATCAGTATCATTTCATGATATATGAAGTAATATCAACATGAAAAAGTTAAAAGACAATTATAGTACACAGCAAAATAATTTAGAAAAGTTAAAAAAGTGGTATTTTTTTTAAAAAAAAACTAGAACTTTAAAAATGTAAAGTCTAATAATATAAGGATGTAATGTTCCTTTTGAGTAATGAAATATAATAAAATATACTCCTCCGGTCCTAAATATAAGACCCTTATACTAGTAAGGGTCTTATATTTAGGACCGGAGGAGTAGTATATTAATATTACAGTATATATATTATAATTGTGAAAAAATATATATTATAATATAAATAATTACATATTTCGAGCATAGCCAAATAGGCAGGGCTGCATGCTATACTCGTGGCTCGGTCTTGTCTGAAAATGCCCATTTTTTCCTTGGGCTGTGTTTTTTTGGATCGGACAGGACAATTTTTTAGTGGGCTTGGACGTGCATATTGGGCTAATGAGCTCATGAACACCCCTGAAAAAAAGGATTTCTTCCTATTATTCTATGTTCTGAATTTGCCTCACAACATTGGATATAATTTTTGCAATTTTCTCAATATTCCTTTATGGAGGATTCATTTTGTAAGGATTTCATTAGGCATCCCACAATTTTAAGTTGAAGTGGCTGCTTCTATAATTAAGGCTGCCATTATTTCTGGGCAAAGCTAGTGGTGCGCAAGCTTGCATTCAAAGTCAAGAGATACATGCGTAAAGGAAAGGCTAATAAGCAAAGTGGGAAGAAAGAAAGCCTAAGTGAATTTAATGTTTGCCATTTATTGTCTCCCAAATAACTCAAACTTCTCTATTCTCTCCTTTTCTTCCTCCTTGGTCGGTGTACTGTCACCCCAATCCACAGTTCCATTCCCTTTCAATCACTCAACCCATAACTATTCTAAAGCTACAAAATTGACTCTTTTAACAACCCCTCAGGCTCTACAAAGTAGACACCCTTTCCCCAGTAGTCTTACTGAGCATTTTCCCCGGAAAGTTAGAGAGAAAATGGAGGAAGAAGATGTGAGGGTAGGAGCCAACAGTACAGAGGAAGGCAAGCGATTGGAACGGCAGCTCAGAGCCAAGATGGAAGAGACTACAGAGAGCCACCTGCTGCGCCGTTGTTTGAAGTTGGTGAGCTATCTTCATGGTCTTTCTACAGAGCAGGCATTGCAGAGTTTGTGGCCAGTTTCTTGTTCCTCTACGTCACCGTTTTGACTATCATTGGGGTGGCTAAATCTTCCTCTAGGTGCTCCACTGTTGGCACTCAAGGCATTGCTTGGGCTTTTGGGGGCATGATCTTTGCTCTTGTCTACTCCACTGCTGGTATCTCAGGTAATCTTCATCAGGAAACGACCATAACAATGAACAATATTGTGTTTAAATGAAATAAGGGTCAGGGGTCATTTTTGTTTGTTTAAATGAGGTTATTAAATGGGACAATCTTTCTAAAGATTTGATTGTTGATAGAATATAATGACGTTGTGTGATCTATGTAGTCAACTTTATTTAATTAGATAAAGTTTATTGCTGTCACTGAAAAGGTTAAAAAAAAGTAATGTTTCCCTCTCTTTTAAAAAACTAACACTAACTTTAAAACTAATATTGACTCTTAACATTTTTAATAGGAAGGATGACATTGCTATTTTTTTAACATGTTAGAAAGGATATTGAGGGGGAAAAAAACTTTATCCATAGCTTTTTTGTGAACATTTCTAGGATAAAAGTGACTCTTAACCCATGAAATAACTCTGCAAAGTTTGGCTAAATGCATGATTTGTGGGTGCAGGAGGGCACATAAACCCAGCAGTAACATTTGGGCTGTTTCTAGCAAGGAAGGTGTCACTGACAAGGACATTGATGTACATAACAATGCAGTGCTTGGGTGCCATAGCCGGAGCCGCTGTGGTTAAGTCCTTCCAGCCACATACCTTTGAGAGACTAGGTGGTGCCGCCAACACTCTCACTTCTGGCTACTCTAAAACCGCAGGCCTTGAAGCTGAGATCCTTGGCACATTCGTTCTTGTTTATACTGTCTTCTCTGCTACTGATGCCAAGCGAAACGCCAGAGACTCCCATGTTCCTGTAAGCCATCAATCTATATCCATATTACAAGAAATTATTATTAACTGAAACTTGTTTAATTCTAACTGTATGAAATACTTATTATATATATGGTTTTGGATGGATTGCAGGTTTTGGCTCCACTGCCTATAGGGTTTGCTGTGTTTGTGGTGCATTTGGCTACCATTCCTGTGACAGGCACAGGTATTAACCCAGCTAGAAGTCTTGGTGCTGCTCTTATCTTCAACAAGCACCAAGCTTGGCATGATCATGTGAGTCTTCATATGCTTTGCTTTGGGTTTGATTTTGATTCTTTTTCAATTTTTAAAAGACCTGTTTATGTCATGGTGCAGTGGATCTTCTGGGTTGGGCCTCTGCTAGGGGCAGCTCTTGCAGCACTGTACCACCAGATAGTGATAAGGGCGATCCCTTTTAAGTCAAACTGATGCATCATGCAAGCAATATCCATAACCATAACTTCTTTCTGCAGTGTGAAGTTCTTTTGATTTCTGTTATATGTCTTCTACTGTACTGCGTACTGGGTTTCATTCTCTGTTTTAACATCTTGCCTCCACTTAGTAGTAATGGTGGGGATATAACTGCTTCTGCCATGTAATTATATAAGCTTGTCCCATTGAATAATAATCTTCAGATGATGATATGTGCATTATCTGTTTGCATTGGAACTTAATGATTCTTTTGATTGAATTGCCTACAATAAGGAAGTAGACTAAGCATTTATTTTATTTCTCAAAGAGGACAGTTGAAAGCGAGAAGAGGAAATAAGATCATAAAGTCAAGAGCATTATCCTATATAACCTACTTTTCTTGTAATGTTAGTCTGCCTAATAAAAGAGGAAGTAGAGATGTGAAGAGGAGCTTTCAATCTTTAAAGTAACAAAGTGAATAAAAATGAATATAATTATAAGCTACTGCCTCTGTTCTTAATATTAATATTAGATCATAAATATAAAATCTCAATATTTCTTGTCTTTTATATTTATTATTTTTTTTTGCAAATCAATTTATCTAACTTATAAAACAAATAGATAATTTAACATCATAGTTTTTATAGGATTATTTTTGAAAGATAATGTTACGTTTGTTATAATTAATTTATTTACCTAATTTTTTAATTTACTCAAATTAGTCAACAGACTTTTATATTAATGATAAAATTATCCTTGTCATGAACTCATGATGAGCTAATTATTTTTGTGATCATTTCTTAACAATTTATAATGGTTAAAACCGTTGCTAAAATTTTTTTTAAGAAGAATTCACAATATACCGCAAGATAAGAAGAATTCGTCATATGGTATTCACGCCCAACTTTAAGAAGAATTCACAATATACCACAAGATAACTGGAATTCGTCATATGGTATTCACGCCACCTGGGTTGCCACGTAGGATTTGTTTGTCACTTTGTACGCCAATATGGGCGTCTTGTTGGATGCTTAGATTGAAACTATAAGTTGTTCTAACTTTTAGGAATCAAGATGGATGTCACTTTAGAACATTCCTCTTATCGTATTATTTTTTTTGTTTCTAAAATGATTAAAAAATTATTTTAAAATAGATTATTGATGAATCCTATTACTTAAAATGTGTAATCATGCAAGATTTGGTGATTTCCCTGATGTATCTCCTCCTATGCTTTCCACTTAGATTTTTTTAAGTGCCTGTCATCTATTTTTTTTCAAAATCAAGAATAAGGACTTAGAAAAAAAAAACGGATCTGTTCCATGGAGTGCAAAAACTTATATGCCCATTTTACGTTTTGTTTCTTTTCGAATATTAACTAGATAAAGGCTAAGATCGCTATTGTCAACTCGGTGTGCATCTGTCAAATTCATTAATGTTGGGCAGCGTTATTGCCAACGTCTTTCATATTCTATTGCTTTGCGCTCTCTATTTTTTCGGTGTCCTAGATTATTTTTTAGTTCTTTTTTCGATTCTGTAGAAAACAAGAGAAATTGAATCAAACTAATCTATTATGTATCTGTTTGATGAAAAAATTAGTCCAGAAAATAGTTATCTGATCGTTTAGATATGAGTGAATGGAGTGATTACCGGATTTGGTTCATTCTATAGGATTCGCTCTTGATTTTCATATCACGTTGCAGCTGGAGTTGAACACTGCAGACCTGCCACTTCAACAAACGAGCAAGTTCTTATTAAAAATTTTCCATTGTGTATAAAGAATAGGTAGATAATATACAGTTGTTAGCCATAAACTTAATTTACCTTATTTTAACAAATCCAACCTGTCAAAAAATTTCTCATTTTAGTCAACTTTGAAGATCCTTCATAGTAGATATTCCAGGATTATTATAAACACAGTGATATGTGTTGTGTAGATGAACTGAAGATTGTCCATGTCAAGTTTCAATTGCAAAGAAAATTAAGTTCGGTGAACAGTTTTGCATCGTTGGGGATGATGCTCTGTTAGGTTCCTGGGACCCTTCAGATCCAATACCAATGTCCTGGTCAGATGACCATACTTGGACTGCTGAAACGGTGAGTAAAAATTAGAATCTTCTATAATAAGAAATATAAAATGAAATAAAACTCCTCTGGTGAAAAGCTTCATTGCCAAATCTTTGAGAGATAAACTCAGTCAATTTAATTTACAGTTGAGTGTGAATCAATTAATATGATTAACTTTAAATCGTGAGTAACATACAGGTCCTGTGTATATGGACAGGATATAATTGCTGGAAAAAGGATCCAATACAAGTTCATATTGAAAGAGAGAAAGGGGGATGTTATTTGGCAGCCAGGGTCAGATAGACTCATGCAAACATGGGAAACTGTTAATGGAATATCAGTCTTTGAGGATTGGGACAGTGCAGGACTTCAGATGATAACAGAGGAACTGCAGCATCAACACTCAAATGAGGAATCCAAGCAGCAGGAAAAGCCATCAAAGAATACAGATCGTAACGATGAGCAATAAGAAGCTGATAGACCCACGCAGATTAACCCCAGGGGAAAGGTTACTTCAATCAAGAATCAGGAAACACAAGTTGATGACTAAAGTCTGTTTGAATTTTGACGGTGTACCATGACTTTGCACCACCAGTTTTGCCAGACGAAGAATCTAATTCAGGTGAAATAGTTTCACGAAGTTAACAAAAACTAAAACAATCTTGAATTCTCTTTTTTGTGTGTGACCAAAATGAATTCTTTGCAAGTCAAAAGCACAATAATAAAACTGGAAACCTCCTTGCCAGTTTCCTCTGTATGAACACATTTTCTTTCTAGTGAACTGATCTTGGTTCATCCTTGTCCATGGATACGACACTATACGAATGTTCTTTGCTACTTCAAATTATATATCATCGCCTAATTTATTTTGGTTTTAAGTAAAAAGTATATTATTTAGTTTTAAATCATGCCAATTTGTGTCTTCATCTGAGACAAAATCGTTTTATTCTGTGCAACCATGAAGATTGTAGTGAATATTTCTTTGTTTATTGTCCATTGTTGTTGCCGTTGTTATGGCTACAACCTCCGTTCCTGCATATAAAATTTAGTCTGTAATGCAAACTACTCTTATTTCTAAATATAAGATCTAATTTGTAGTGTAAATTAAAATCAGGGTAGTATTATTTTTGATAAAAGGAGAGGGAACAAGTCCCTGGAACTCAAGTTGCAAAGCATCCTAATACACGGTTCTTAATCAACCCCTCTGGATAGGCTGGGGCACTATCAAAAGTTGGAAATCATTATAAATCCTTAGACTAGATTTAGCAACTAGCAAGACTATGAGCAACTCTTTTAACCTCTGTCGGTGCACATTGAAACTTGAGTTGCCAATTCCATCACCTATTACATAAATTCTCCTATAACTGACGGCAAATGCAGCTCCCACGCTGTTTCAATACCTTTAAACAGAGAACATTCCTCAGGCTCTCGTGGTTCGCAGATGCCCAAGAAATTGTTAGGGCAACCCATGAGTCCAAATTCAAAGTATCTCGCATTATCCCTCCACATGCAGCCAAACCAGACTATTCCATGACAGCCCCACCCACATGCACATTAATCTTGATCCATTTAACACTGCTTCTATCCACCTTTCTTTCAGATGCAATCTTCCCACATAGTTTTTCACAATCACAGAAATAACAAAACCAGGATCTAAAGTCCCATTTGGGACGAAGTATTGAGAATGAGAGATTGGGATTGAAACTACAATTGAAAAAAAGCATTAGAATAGTATTTAGCATAAGTAATTGCTTGTTATATGGGATTAGGCAAATCCATAAAGGTGAGATTGGGGAATACCACTTCCTCCTATGGTATTCTCCAATCCCACATACATGGTTTTGACTAATCCCATATAATAAGTAATCTCTTAACTCTTTTAATAGATTTTCTCAATTATAATCCCAATTCCGATCTCTTATTTTCAATGCTTCCTACCAAACGTAACCTAAAGGTTTATCAAAAGTTTCATGGTTGATCATTGCACCAATTACTTCATATGGGTGAGCAGCCCCGCATTTACTCCTCCGAACATGGGTGGCAAGCCCAAAAAAAGACTCTAATCCGTTCCACTCCTCTCCGTTTCCAGATTTTTGTTGAAGATTTTACTAAACGGGGAGCTACCAGAGTCCTCAATAAGTGAAAAGGCGCTACTAAAAGTAAACCCACGATTTTTACTCAAGTTTCATTAGAACTTAAGCTCCTCAAACAATTATCAGCAATTCTGATTCCATGTATGTATTTCTGAGTAAGCATGCCCACCCATAGTCCTTTTTATACCTGAAGCTAGATTCCACGCAATCTTATCTACCCATGCACCATTCACAGCTTCAAGCCTTCTAAAGCCCAACCCTCCTTCATCTTTCAGTCAACACAGCTTAAAACCCAACATGAGTTGTTTCCCCGATCAATCAAATGCCCTGAGGTCTTCCCATCAATTTTGATATTCCCCATAAGAAATAGAGCTGTCTCATTATAGTATTCTAAAAACATGCTCAGAGACAATCGAGCCTTCTCGGATTCAATGCCCATCCAGTATAAACCCTTTGTTCCCAGATTCTCCCCCTTTAATCTTCTTAGCCCTACGATTCAGTCGATCATCTTCCTCTCTTGAAGAAGGGAGCAGAAAGGTTCTCCTATTAGGGACCGGGACAGCCATTGTTTGATCTTTTATGGTCCACTACCTTGTTTTCCTACTTCAGAACCACTGCATCTGTAGAACAAAAACTGGATAAAGAGAAATTTACATATTGATAGAATCAATTCAAATACGGTTGAAGGTGATACGAAAAACAAATTTCTATTTTGCTCTTCAAAATTACTGTCATCATCAATTTGGTAAAATTATTTCTAAGATCAAACTAACTATTAAAGTTTGCTTATCCAATCAACTCAAATCATAACAAAATAAATATATTTTTAATATAATTTTGTATTAATTATTTCAGACACAAATAATATTCTCACACATTATAAAATAGAAAAGTTGGGAAATGAGGCATACAAGTCTCAAGTTATGACACAATTTACTTTGCTGTTCTTTTTCTTAGCTCATGGGAAGAGCATGAAAGAAGGACGCGGAGAGAGATGAAGAGCAGAGAGCTACCTACCAAAGGAAGCACTAAGTTATTAGGAACCACTCACCATTTCACCAACTGTTGAACCCTCTCTCGGGAGAAAAACTATTCTTCCCTAGTCAATTGCGACTATTACATGTTTTATGGACCATGTAAATTGAATCTTCTTATGGCTAGTCTAGTTTTCATTCAGTGCGATTTTTGGATAGTTTTATCTAATTTTTACTAGTTTTTAATTGGTTTTTTTTAAATTCAAACAGAGTGAATGTGTATCATGTAATCTAGATCAATTGGTCCATGTGCCCATCTAATTTTAAAAACATGATCTTAGCATTTGACAATTTATTAGTACCAACAGATATTTTATAAAGGTACAATACTTTGCTCTTAAAATTGAGGGGATTATATGCATAAAAAAATAAAATTTAAGGAGACATGAAATTAATAGTTTGGAATTATCTGCATAAAGTTGACAGTTTAGGGGGATTTATTATTGAGTTTTGAGGGTTAATGAAATTATCTGTAAGTTCACAAAAGTTTTATAGTTCCTCTTATCCTTAATATAAAAATTAGTTGACTAATTTGAGTAGACTACAAAAATTAGTTAAGTTATTTATTTGTAATAAATAGGCGTTATCTTTCCTAAAATACATTTGCTAATCATGTGTATTAGCTAGAATTATATTTGATGAAACTTTAATATGTGCAACTACTACAAGGATTGCCTTAAAAAAAAATAAATAAATATGAAAGATAAAGTGGATTGAGATTTTATATTGAGGACCAAATTAAATATCAAACTAACTCTTATATTAAGCACTGAAGGTAGTATAATTTAACATGGTTGAGAAAACAGTGAGATTAACACCGAAAATTTATAGAGATTAAAGGAGAGGAAAAGAAAGATGGCACGAAATTCTTAGATGTAAGAATTATATTTTCATTCCTCATCCCCCCCAAAAAAAAGGGAACCACATTTGATGATTTTCATTGAGCTTGAACATACGTAGATACATACATACATAACCACACACCCACGCTCGCACATTCATATCTTTCTACTAATGAGAACAACTGTACACCAAAACAGATGAAGGTAGTAACGATCAACCTTCTGTCCTAAATTACCTTCAGGAGCTGGCATGCTCTTTCAATTGCTGATTATTTGCAATGGGTGAAGAGAGACTAGCTTCAACGTCTAAAGTCTGAAGATTAAGAAAATTATGCATGAATTTGTAACTTGTAAGTACAGCACCAGTTAGTCAATTAGATATCACCTAATACACAGAATTTGTCCCTACAAAGAATACAGACCAGACTGCACATTAAACTACAAAAACCGACCAACTTGAAACAAAACCATTACGTCAGTATCATTTATTTGAGTTCCTTCAAATTCTGTAAATAGATCGCTGTTTTCAAATCAATTAAACCCACGCCATAAACTAAAGGAAACAATCATGGATTACTTCTTTCATTCTTAATGAACTGGAGGACCACAATGCTACCTTAATTTAAGAGCTTGCAAAAGAAACATGATTATTGACAAGAAGGGACTACTTGGACAACACGAACTGACTTTGGTCATTTCCCATTAATGGAGCAGTAGCATAGAAGGCGGCAAAAGGAGTTATTTCTATACAATAATGAGCCTCTGCCGGGAATTTTCAGTGTACATACACCACATGCACGCACCACTTACATCAACTATCAAAAACATCAGAAAGCCCCACCTTAGAAGTACTTTCTCTAGACAATGTGTTTGCTCTTTCCAGTTCACTGGATTCAAGATCGACTGCCTCCCACAGGAAACCATTTTCATGATTAAGAGAGAGCTTGTCAAATTCTTGGCCAACACCTTCACATCGAGGCTTCATATGTGCCACATATTTCTCTGTAATTTCAAGCATGTAGCCCTTTAAATGAATATTGTATCCGAAAGTCATAATCAAACAGGAGCAAAAACTGGAATTAAGAGAATGGGAAATAAAATTCGGCACAATAAATTTGTTAATGCCTGGCACAAACCAAATTTATTCATGAATAAGCATTCACATTGCCATCGGTGCCACAGGCAACAACCTCCATGGTCCGCATTACAGAACAATAATATGTAACTCTTGCACCAATAACTTTTATTTCTTTACCAATAAGTTCTACTTAAATGCCCAAGAACACCGAGTTCACTAGATGCATTATCAAAACAGAACGTAGAGCAACCTTCAATAATTAATAAACGTTGACTCAAATCAACAGATATTCTCAACTTGAACACATTCCCCATAGTGTCAAAAGTCACCAAGGTAAAGAGTGTCCAAAACTGTTTTACACATATATCTGGTGGGAAATGGGCATATTCAAGACGCTCCTCAAATAACCAGGAAATGCTCCTTAGATGTCCTAGCTGCCACTATAACAAACCATATCCCACTGGGTGTGGCAATAATCTCTCACCCATTATCAGTAAAATAACAAATGACAAGAGAAAAAGAATGGGGATCGGGTAACATGAAATACAAATATATTCAATAAGAAATTAATTTAACCTGCTAATCTGTGGAGGGCATTCTCAGCTGCCTGCTGTTGGGCATCCATCTTTGTCCTACCCATTCCGAAACCTATTTTTTCACCAGTGAAAAGTACCTAAACCATGGCGTCAAGCATTAAAACATTTGACTAAAAACACTAAATAAACCTTTTTAACACAAGTTTCAATAA